TTCTATTTGAAACTGCTGCAGGTATGTTAATGATGCACAGTTACTTTTGCATTGAAGTAGTTGTTGATCTATCAGATCGATAAATGTTTATATTTCTGTAATTCTTTTGCTGCAGGGTTGTTGAATATCAACAACTTATTACAAATAATCCAATTTCTTTATAGTAAGTTGAAGGAGTAGGTTTTATTAGCATAGAAGAAGGTTATCAGCTTTTGGAATACAATAGAGTCTTCATGAAGTGGATCATATGAGTATTACAACCAATTTATCTGGAAAATCATATTATTCAGCATGACAGGTAAACTCTCGAATACCACACAAACTCTCAGATCTTTTGTACCCATTGCAACGCACAGGCCCTTTGCTAGTATACCAAATATGTGTATAATACTTTCTAACATGCCCCCTCAATCACAAGTTCACCAAGTTGAGATTGCCCTTGAGGTCTTCTAATTTTCGTCATGATAAGCCCTTGGTAAAAGAGAGAAGTGCATATTCTAATCCCCAACTTTTGTTCTAGTCTAATGTACAACCCTCAACTATGATACTGTCTTAATCAACCACAAAATCCTAAACCCGACCAGGATTGAACCTCCCCGCCCTGTTGATCGGTTTTGATCCATTGACCATCCAGTCAGCAAGCCACGTCAGCAAAAATATCAGATTTTCCAATACAAATTCTGTAAAAAAAATGTATATTATAAATAAATGTATAATAATACTAATAAAATTATCTAAAACTGAACAAAAGTAAAAAAATGTTTAATCAACGAAAAAATTCTGTAAACCAAAAAAATAGTTCTGTTCAATTTTCTACCCCATTTTTGCCCCATTCGGTCAGGAAAACAATTCTTTTATGAAAATTTGAAAAAATCTATAAAATCAAGAAAACAATACTAAGCATACTGGAAAATTCCCAATTTTTTGTTTAAAACATTGGAAATTATTTTCAAATTACATTTTCTACCCAATTTTTTCCAAAATTAAATATTTCTACAAAAAAAGGGGAAATTGCTGTAAATTTAAGAAAATAGTACTAAACATTCTAGGAAAGTTTCAAAAATTCTTCAATTAATGTAAATATCTTTAGTTTCAATTTCTGGATTTTTTATTATTATTTTAAATAATTGTTTTTTATTTTACAAAAAATCAACTATTTTATTGTTTTTTATTTTCCAGAATATTTTGTTAAATTTTTTGCTGATGTGGCTTTATGACTAGATGGTCAACGAGTCAAAACCTGTCAATTGGGTCAAAATCGGTCAACAGGGAGGGTAGAGTTGAATCCTGGCCGGTGTTTAGAGTTTGGGGTTGATTCTTAGACAATATCATAGTTGAGGGTTGTAGATGATACTGGGGTTGTAGATTAGATTAGGCCAAGAGTGTGGGCTTGAAATATGCACTTCCCTCTTGATAAAACCATCTACAATTTGGTCACCTGTGAAGATAAAACGAAATGTCGAGTAGTCTCTTGGCTACCCTTTCACGCACAAAATGATAACCAGTCTTAATGTACCTAGTTCTTGAATGAAAAACTAGATTTGTTGAGAAATATGTGGCACCGATATTGACACACCATAGGCAAGCAGCTGAAGAATGATTAACACCAAGTTCATCTAGTAAGGTTTGTACCCACATTAATTCAGCAGTAGCATTAGCTCAAGATTTGTATTCAACCTCTGTGTTGATCCAAGATATTATTTGGACCAAAGAAAACAGTAAAGCCTCAATCAATCTTCTGTCATCAGGACAACATGCCTAATTAGCATATGTGAAAGCACTTAGTAAGGTTAAGGTTGATTCGGCAAACTTCATACATGTACTCATGGTACCTCTGAGATACCTCAATATTATCTTTACAATTTGTCAAGCCTCAAGTGTTGAGAAGTAGGGGAATGCAAATACTAGCATACTTTATTAACATGCAAATATATGTCAGGTCTTGTTAGTATAAAATATTGTAA